AAAAAAAAAAAAAAAAAAAAAAAAAAAAAAAAAGGGGGGGGGGGGATATGAAGAGAAAACACTATAGCTAGAACTACAACTAAGAACTAGGAGGCTAGCTAACCACAGAAATACAAATCAAAAGTAATGGTCCTAATGGACTAGGAACAGTTCCGTCTCTAGCCAGGGGCGGTTGAGAAGGAACTGAGGGGGAACTAGCCCGCATGAGCTGACAAGCCTCGTGGCGCAACATAAGGAGAGACTGCACATGTGTGGGCCTAACGGATACTGCTACCAAAGTTCTCCAATCAGCAGCGCAGGGACGCAAGCACAACTACAGGGGAGCACCTATAGGGACACTACTTGCAGAAGAAGTGAAGCTTAACTATAAGAATGTTGTAAAATGTAAATAAAAACTTGCCTGCAAAGTTTCCTGCCCTTCCTAGGAACTTCTGCTCAGCAAGAATGGAATGCATCACACTGCCTTATCAAGAGGCTTGACCAAACTCTTTGGTGAATAAATGGGGAAATACTTCCTATTCAGCTTGGCTGGGTCAGGATGGAGCTCAAGGGTGTCTATAAAATTTCTTAACATAGGATCAAAGAATTCTGTTTGAATAAGCTCCTCACTAATGTCCTTGTTGGATTTAATGGATTCCAGCTCGCCCTTTCTTTTGCGATGCAGCGTCCTGGCTAGAGAGTATACTACTTCGCCTTTTTTCTAGGGCTGTTTATCCTTAGCCTACTTGGATATCAACGACACAGACAGGTGGGAGTTGGGACTTCACTCTCCCCCAATGAGGTAGCACTGTTTCTTGGAAGGAATTTTTGACATGAGGTTGTTAATAGCACCTTTCAGGAGACACCTCTTCTCTACCCTTCTTCCCCACACTGGCCATCTTGCCTGCTGTCTCTGTGTGTATTGGGGTGGGGGTCAGGAACACATGCTCACAGTAAGGCAAAAAGAAGCCCAAATGCCTCAGACCACACAGAATCAAGAAAAGAAAGTTTAGCAGAAAAGGGTACTGCTGGAGTTCTATGTATTTATTGTTTAGCTGAAAATATAACACGAGGCCTGCAGTAACAGGAGCTTGGTCTGGAGCATAATGATTGAGCTGTGGGAAATTGCAGCCAGGGTGTATGGCTTAAGGGGTTTCTCGCCTCCATTACTGATTAATTTGGGGTAGGATTGCCAGACAGACATTCTTATAAGAGAAAAGAAAAGACGGTTACTCACCGTTGTAACTGTTGTTCTTCGAGATGTGTTGCTCATATCCATTCCAGTTAGGTGTGTGCGCGCCGCGTGCACGAT